ATGATTCATTAAATGATTTAACACTGCTGCCCTCTAGTGGTTAAATCATATAATGTTTATGATTCATTCAATGATTTAACACTGATGTAACACTGCTCCGGTCTGTCTTTGTTCATCCTGCATCGCTCTGTTCTGTTCTTTAATGTAACGTTACTGGAGCGACGGAGCCTCTCCCAGCTGTTAGCAGACTGTTGTACCCAGCATGCAGTTCGGCGGTGAAATTTTATAAATGTACAATTATTAGTGTTACAAATTGTTTATGTATCACAGACTGTTGTGTGCTGTTGTGTTTTCTCTGTTAAAGAGCATTAGTTGTGGGTTGTTAATTGTTGTGTTATAAAGTTATGACCATGACTAGGGTTCCCTCTCAATACATATAAGACAACTAGCGCTGACCGCTGTACATTAGCAACAAAGAATACATTTAGCTGCCTGTTGAAAGCAGACAGCAGTTGTTTTGGCTATGCACCGGTATAATGGTGTGTGAAGAATTCATATCTTACGGGAAATTAAAACCGTTATACTGCTCAGCTCTAGTCTTTATTATATTTCGGACAGTTTTGTACCAATATTTGACGGGCCGGGCGGCTAGCTGAGTGTCTTCTTCTGCTTATTGTAGCTTGTTAAACAACTGACTGAGATATTACCGCCACCAGGTGGTGGGAAGATATATTGTAACTGAGCGTCTCATGGAGAACAGTAATATCTCTGGTGTCTTCAATTGATAACCTATGCGGTCCCGCGGCCCTCGCGGCCCACAGGTGCAAAACTGAAAGTTTTTTGCGGCCCTCTAGGTGGCGTTCGCGGCCCCATCGTGGGCCCCATGGTTAAGAATCACTGCCATAGGGGGTTGGACAAAGAAAACAGTTTTTCATGTGTGCTTCCATGTGAAGCAGGAAGGCCTAAATGTGTTAAAGGATAGGTCAAGTTTATCTTACGGTAATACAATACTCACCTGTACATATACATAGAAAGAGTATAAAGAGGTCAAACAGTTCAAGAGGAAACAGCTGGATGTGGGTACCTTCAGTGACTGCAAATGGTCTTTATACCAAAGAACTACACCTCAGTCTACATGGAAGTGGTGGCCTGACAGCCATCTTTAAAGGGCCTTTCTTTCACATGGATGGTTCAATCTCAATCTGAAATTTTCACATTTTAGTTTCAGTTTACAGTTTTAACCCTTAATGCACTGACACCGAACACTTCTCAATAACCCCGACAGATGTACTGCACTTAAACCCTTTGTATCAATTGTGTTAATACTATCTGTGAATTTTATCTAATATGTGAACAGTGTAGTCTCACCAGTGTGGATCTATGCTCAGCCTTGAAAAGAATGTGGCCCTAGATCATTAGACTGGATAAGAAGTCCAACAGGAGCCTGGTGGAAAGCAGCAGGAGGAGCCCAGCTCCAATCTCCTCAGCCTAATATCAGATCAAATCAACGTTTGATCTGATCACTGATCACACTATATTAGTGTGACGACCCTCTCTGCCCTGTCTAAGCAGGTGTTGGAGGTGGGTGTGGCAGAGGGTCATCAGCAGAGTGGAAACACCTGAGCTCATCAGCAACCCATGGGCCTTGTGTGCCAGTGCACTGTTTAAAAACCCTCTTAAGTCTCAGTTGGCCCCTTTCTCCTTCCTGAGACACCCATTTGGTTTTTGGTTGAGAGTATGATTTGTTTCTACACCATGCAACATTGCATACACACTTTCTACGATGCACTCTCCTACACTGCTGAAATGACTGACTTCACACACCACTGTTAGTTTATGTTTGCCTCTCATGTTGCCTTACGTTAATAAATAGTTTGTTAATTTGCTTGGTTGTGTGCATCTCCCTTTTTTGTCATGGCTGTTCAGGCCGGTTTGTGACATTAGTGTAATTACTGTGGCATGGTTAGTTGTCACTGCTTCTAGCTGCCATGTTATAAAGGCCAGCACCACGACAGCTACACTTGTTATTTTCCTAAATTCCTCCAATGAACAGTTCAACCTCTTATACCTGCTGAAAACGAGCCACAGAGCATCCAGACCAAAACCTGTTTGTAACATACAGACTTGAGAGCTCACTTTACGCTGAGCCATCAGGTGTGCAGATATACAAGTCATTAAAGGGTTCTTCCACTAAAACAATTCATTAAGTTAGGTTTGCATCTGCTCTCATGAAGGTCCATAATCACCTTCAGGTTTTACTTTGTCAGTCCTGCTGTTGAGGACTGCCGAGAGGAGAGTGGAAAGCTTCTCTCCCTGAAACCCCAACGCTGGGCCTTTTCAGCTCGAGTCGAGGTGGAATGAGGTTTTCATTTCAGACTGTGCCCTTACAGGCAGGTGGAGGGTCTTGTATAAGCCTCCTGTTGAGAAACGGATAGCTGACATGGAGCAATAGCCACGATCAGACCTAAGACCTGGGGAGGGACGTCCTTTTGGTGAACAAAGGGTAACATTAGAGTATTTAGTGTGTTTGGTCCTTGGTTAGTGGGCTTATTTACAGCGCTGCAAGAAGGGGTGCAAGCTTTGTGAGAGAAATTGTCTTTCCCCTTGTTTGTGTTTGGGCCTAAATATGCAGTAAGAAAAAGACACACTTTGATTCGAACACATTTTTGTCTGGAAGTGGAAGACTGGGAAGTATCAGATGATAGGTCGTCTGAGAGCAGAGCACGCTTTCTATCGCACCAAATTGAGCAAATTCTGATTGTGAAACGAATTATTTTGTGGGTGTTGTGATGCTGAAAACTATTTATACATCGTTTTATATGCCATTTAATTAGTTTCAAAACACAGAACTGCATGTGATACGAACGGACAGAACAGTACCCGCTATGGGGAAGAATGTAGGGCAACTTAGAGTCGTCAATTAACCTGCATGTCTTTGGACTGTGGGGGAGGACAGAGAACCCGGAGAGAACCCACGCTGACACGGGGAGAACATGCAAACTCCACACAGAAAGGGCCAGCCAGCAGGTTCAAACACGTATTTTTGCACACACATTAAATGTTCTCGAACATGAACGATAACAAACAAATCTCTGTAGGATGACCTGACAATGCTTTCAGAAAGTATTGGCCTTGCAGTCCTCAAATGAATTCTAAGCACATGTGGATAAAATCTGCAAACATTGGACCAAATAAAATCACCATCCGCATATTCAGCAGCAAACGTTACATTTTCTGACTTCTTTTTTGATGATCTTTCAATTGTTTTGTACAGAAATATAATTTCAAACGAATCTCAATTTGGACACCTGAAAAGGCTTACTGTGGACATTTTTCTAACTAGGCTACATATATTTATTAAAAATGTATATAAGTATATATATGAAATGCAGGTGTGTGAATTAGCTTCTCTGTTCTCTGGCAATGTAAGAGCTAAACCATGGATATGTGTAATGCTGAGGACACCAGGCAGCTCAGAAAACAAAGACAATATCCAACATTTCACTGTCATGACTGAAAACCTTTGAAGAGCGATGTGAGTATCACAACAGAGACATGGATCAGGCCGGAGACTGTGGTTGTGGAGTAGTTGCGAAGCTGTTCACAGTGCTTCCTACTTTTTAAAACTGATTTAGTGGGTAAGAGATGATGATTGAGACAATGCATTTATACAGTGAACAGCTTTTATATTAATCTGACAGCTTTAAATTCAGAGATTCGCTGTGTTGCCAGTAAAATTGCCATTATGCCTTTTACATAAAAGTGACCAGGGTCCCTTTTTGGACATGAGACCAAGATGAACGTTTGGGGCTGCATGTCTAACAGGGGGCTCTGCAGACACTATTATTATTATTATTATTACAACATGATAATGTTGCTCTACTCTGTCTGTGTCATCCTCTGTCTTCTATCTAGTGCATTCTTCCACCCTTATTTTACATTGAAGTGAAACTCAACACACACACACACACACGCACACACACACACACACACACACACACACACACACACACACACACAC